GCTACCTAGTGAGTTCAAGCCCAGCCTGAAAAAACCCAAAATAAATAAACAAACTTTTGTGCTTCAAGGGACAATATCAAGACATTTAAAAGACAATCTGCAGAGCTACAGAAAAATTTGCAAATTATATATCTGAAAAGGGACTTATACTTAGAATATATAAAGAACACCTACTTAAAAACAAACAACCCAATGCAATTAAAAATGGCCAGAAATCTGAACAGACATTTCTCCAAAAAAAATAATATAATGGTCAATAAGCACAGGAAGAGATGCTTGACTGTTAACTACTGAAAAATGCAAATAAAGATCATACATATTAAGACTGCTATAAACAGAAAGTCAGAAAGTAATCCTTGGTGAGGCTGTGGAGATATTGAAACCCTCACACAGTTTTGGTAGGAGTGTAAAATGGTGCAGTCACCTTTGAAAATAGTCTGGCAGTTCCTCAAGGAGCTAAACATAGAATTGCTGTTTGACCAGAAATTCCATAGGTGTATTCCTAAGGAAAATGAAAACATGTACACACAAAAACTTGTTTATGAATGCTTACAGAAGCATTATTTATAATAGCCAACAGATAGAAATCCAATTATCCACTTACTGGTAAATGAGTAAAAGAAATGTGATACAGGTGGGGATTTAGCTCAGTGGTTCTACTGCCTCAGAAACGCAAGGTCTCGAGTTCAATCCCTGGTACAAAAAAAAACAAAAAAGAAATGTGATACATCCACACAGAAAGATGTTACTTGGCCACCACAAAGGAATGGGTGAAGTCTGAAAATATCATGCTAAGGGAAAGAAGCCATCACAAAAGAACACATGCTATATGACCCATACATGAAATGTCCAGAGTCGGCAAATCTATAGAGGCAGAAAATGGATCAGTGGCTGCTTGAGCTAGGTGTATGGGATGGGTTGGGGACGACAACAACAGGGAGTGATTGCTACAGGATTCACCCTTTTTGGGGTGATGAAAATATTCTAAACTTGATTGTGGTGATGGTGACACGGCTTTTGAAAAGATTTTAAAACATTAGGGCGTACACTTTCAATTAGTAATTGTATGGTATATGGATCATAGTCCAACAGAGCTGTTACGAGCGGGAGGAGGTGAAGGGGAAACAGCAATTGCAGCAACCGCTAAGAGGAACATGCAAATTAATGTAAGGTTAATTGTAAGGTTAATGTTGAGCCTGTAGAGAGCCAGGTTTGGGAGAAATGGTCTCAACTGTCCCTTGAAAATTTCAGTGATACCGATATGGGCACCATAAGCTCCACCTGGGTATCCGCCACCTAACTTGTGTCTAGAGAGATCGGGAACTGGACTTTCCAATCTTGTTTGTGTGCTTTTACATTATGGTTCTTCCGGTTTCTGGGATATAATTTCTCAGCACAGAATCTGCTGAATCTTACACATTGGTGTAGACCCTTAGAAATGGAGGCAGAGCAGTAGTTATGCTGCACCTCCCACAGCCTTTGCAGGGGTAACTTGATATGAAGAAGGATATACTAAGAGGCTCTTGAATCTAAGATATGGAAATGGCCTGTGTGTGGTGGCTGCCTTAAGTGACACCCGGGACTTCTCCAGCACAGCCTCCCTGAGCCTCTAGCTCCCTCACACCCAGCCTATAATCAGAGTGGGAAATCAGGCTCTGATGCAAAGACACCTGTTCACATAGCTCTTCCAGGATGGCTCTCTCATCAACTCTCATACCCCTGCCCCCATCAGAAGCCCACCCTTCGAGAAAGAACAGGTGTTCCTATATTCACTGCTGGTCAGGAGCAGAGTTGAGAGCTTTTTTTTTTTTTGGTACTGGGATCGAACTCAGGGCCTTGTGCTTGTGAGGCAGGCAGCGGCACCACTGAGCTAAATCTCTGGCCTGTTGAGAGCTATTTTTAAACTAATAAAGAACCCTTCCACATTAAAAAGAGAGTTTGTTTTAATTTGTGAAAGCTCTACCACTAGCCAGCCCACGCAACGCTGGAAGTGCGAACTAATTGCATCCCTAGTAGGCTAAGGACACGCTGCGGAAATACGATCTAGAATAGACAGGCTACCCTGTCTCCCTGGGGGATTAGCAAGCACGGTTGGAAGATCTTGCACATTCAGTACAGCTTTTATTTTGATTGTTTCTAGAAGTTACAGAACACTTTAGTGAACGAGATGAAGAATCTCAAAGACACCCAATTGCAAACATTTTTAAAGAAACAATGCCAAAACACATAATGCTTGAAGTGTGCAGTCCTTTAGGGAGAATTTTCCAGTTAAGAGAAATAAAATGTGAACTTTGTCTGAGTAAGTCAAGCTATAAATTACATTCTATAACCACTTCTATTGGTGTTTGGCTTTATTTTGTGGTGTTAAGAGATAGAACCAAGAGCCTCATGCACTCTAAGCATGCTCTCTAACCGTGAGCTGCACACCCTGCCCTTGTTGAGGTAGCTTAAGGAAATTAGTCTTCTCCAGAACATGCATGATTATGTAATGCAAACACGCACTTTAAAAAACCTATTCTCTTACAGAAAAAAAGGAAGAAATTGGACATGCAATAATTTTTCATCTTGGAAAAGGAAATTTTAAAATGAGAATACTTTTAAAAAGTTTAGTTATTAAAACATCCATCAAAAGGTGTATGTTTTTAAAAAACAATGTGAATACACAACACCTGTAACTGTAAACTTAATATGGTAAAAAAGATAGTAAAAAATAGTATTTTATAAAGAGTTAAACCATGTTTAAGCAACTAAGTCATTAACAGAAGTGTAAAAAGTATTTCTTTTTCTAATATGAAATTATTCTTCTCTCCAAAAAGTTTTTGGATCGGAAAAAAGAAAACGGTAGCTTTAATAACATAGTGGTTTCTGTTGATTAATTACAAAGGGTCAAGACCACGTCTTCATTGGTCCAACAGCAGCAGTCACATGATGGTGTTTCCAAAACACTTTTGGGTTGAAATCTTTTTTTTTTTTTTTTTTGGTACTGGGGATCAAACTTGGGACCTTGCACTCGTGAGGCAGGCAGCAGAACCACTGAGCTAAATCCCTAGCCCTTTGGGTTGAAATCTTAAGAAAAATATACAGTTTTAATATTATTAGGCAACTAATGGACAGATAAAGAGTAAGCATATCTGCCCTTGTTCCCCACCTTAAGGAGAAAGCATTGTATCTTCTCCATTCATATAAGGCGTTCTTGCTGGAAGTATGGAGTACATGTCTTTAATCTGTTGAGAAGTTTCTGTTCTACTTCTAGTCTCCTGATAGCTTTTACCATGAAGAGCTGTAGAATTTAGTCTAATACTTTTTCTCCAACTAGTGACAGGATCATACGGCTTTTTCCTTTCCTCTGTTAAAATGATGACTTT